TACCAACTGGCTGCCTGGAAATCTGTGCCGACAAATGGGAGAAGGAGCTCCCATTAAAACTTTGTTCGCGCCATTCTCCTGATTGGTCAACATGAGGGAACGCTGATTGGTTGCTGTGGGGCGTAGGCGACCAATCAGATTGGACAGCGAAATCCCTCTCCTCCCCAACTGCCGATTAGTGCAACTGAGTTTTGCACCCTTACTTTGTGTTGGGTGGCAAAATACCTCTCCTCCCCGAGCGCTGATTGGCACAATTTGGTTCAGGCCCTTTCAGCTGATTTGTTGTTGCTTGCTTTAGGTGCGAAGTTTGAATTCACCAGACTAAACCAAGCAACTCCCTGAATTAATTTCGGGGATGTACAGAGCCTCGAGCCCCAGAATTTAGATGATGATTTCTCAAACTCTGTAAATCCGACAGCCCCACTATTTGCGGCGATCCCAGAGGGGACCCTGGGCTATCCAGTGATATGTGACTGATATGTGTGACCCCTTCCTTCCTGGGGTGTGGAGCCTCTAAGTGTTCCCCATGTATGTACTATGTTTTAATGTGTGTAACTATTGTCCAGTTGGTATCTCCCAGAGTAGGAGATGGTTATCTGATGTAAGCCATCCCCCACCAGCCTGGGGCTGAGGAATTTGAATGAATGGAGACCCCCTCTGTGCATAAAAGAAGCTTGTTTAATAAAGATTGTCAGAGTTGTACCTCCAGAACTGTGTCTTGTCCAGTTACTGGGGGGAAATTGGTCTCATTGTATTTTAAATGGTACCTGATTGGCTGAAGGGAGGGAATTAGCAGAGGTAACCAGTTGGGTTACCAGATGGTCCACTACAACTGGTGGCAAATGGTGGGATCGCACTCCCCAGGCAAATGGAGCCAGCATTCATGAACCAATTAAGCCCATGGACTACACATCTCTAAAGAGGCTAACATTGCAAGAGTTGATAGTGGTCCGTGGGCAGTCAGCTTTCAATCGCACCACGGCTGAGCCTTCATGGAGGATGACCGTCGAAGCAGTGAAACAGCCGTACCACAGTCAGAAGACGACATGGACACCATTCACAAGGAAGTGGCCCAGCGCCTGGCATACTACAAGGAAACCCCCCAGAAGAAACACTAACCAAAATTTTCTCAGAGCTCCAAGCCTGTGTCCTGGCTCGGATGAATGGGGCGAACCCTACGCATGAAACTGGTTCCCCGAGAGTCAGGCAACCCCTGCGCACAAACACAAGCTACCCTTAGACGCCTTCAAAGAGTTCAAAGAGGCGGAGAAGGGAATCGACAACTTCTTGCAGGAATTTGAACAAAAGTGCCTTCTGCAGGAAGTCGCTTCCACTGACTGGATCACAATATTGGACAGGAAACTAACAGGGAGGGCGGTGGAAGCCTACTGGGACGTACCTGAAGAGCAACTCTGGAAGCACCCATTTTTAAAGAGAGTCCTGCTGGCCGGGTATGCCATCACTCCGGAGGCATAATGGTGGAAATTCAGGGGGACCAAGAAATGGGAAAAGGACTCTGGTGGTGACCAGGAAATATCGTCATGAGCTGCTGAAGACAGTTCACGATATCCCCCTGGCAGGGCATTTGGGAATTTGTGCATGTTTTACCTGCTCCCGTGAGAGAGAGCTCATACGAACAGGTTCAGTTCGTCTGTCGAATGGGGACCACCCTGAGATCCCATTTAGAATGTTTAGTTAGAACGTTCACACCTCGATAATGAGGTGTGAAAACCGCAAACCGCAAGGGGAAGTGCTGACTCTGGGTGGTGGCCTGTTCATTAGACAAACGAAATCCAAGGAGAGGATTCGCGAATTGCTTCCCATCTCGTTCGGTTCCTGAATGAGGCCCATGCCAGTGCCCTTGGAATGTTCGCACCAATCATTTAGAACATTGGCAACTTGCAACATAAGTGGGAAACCACAAGGGAAGTAACTAATGAGTGCCTCCCTGGGTGGCTGCCATTCATATAGGCGAGCAGCGGCCAGGAGGAGCATTCATGTCATGAAAGGAGATGCTTCCCTTGCCTGGTTTCATCCAGGGACCCTACTGTTCGTGCCAAGTAACATTCTGGGGGGCCTGAGGTTGGTGGGGACATCCCTTGGAAACAATGGTAGTTTGGCAGGCTTTCCCACGCTGGGACTCCCAGGTACAGAGGCTCATGGGAAGAAGACTGCCCTGGCCACCAGAGATAGGAAAAATTGAGGATGGATGGTGGGAACTGGGCACAAAGGGACTAAAGTTACTCTCACACGCACAGGCCCCTAGGAGGGGGAGGACACTGGGAGGGGACACTGAGTGGTGGGAACAGGGGACAAAGGGATTGAGGTTCCGGTTCTGTTGTGCGACCCGTGTGTCATTGTGTGTGTTACACCCCTTGCATGGGGAAAGTATAAAGTCGAGTGTGGACAATAAAGTTTTGTTGTACCCCTAGAACTGTGTGCCGTCCAGTAACTGGGGGAAAATGGGTCTCTTTATTCTGTATTAGCTGAGGTAACTATTCGGGTTACCCTCGGCCCACTACAACACTGAATTCACCATTACGGACAGAACATCTTCGAGTGTGGAGTTTAAAGATCTATTTAACTCCACATTAGTTTAAGTTAGACCTACATGGTGGATACATCTGCAACAAGGGGTGCAGTAGGAGCTGGTACGGTTACCGGAGTAGTTCTAGATAATAGTGTCTGGAGGGCCTTAGCTATCTGATCCATACAGTGATCCTGCTCTGCAAATCTAGCCTCATGAAAAGCCAATTGCTGACTTAAATCTGCGGAGTCCATGGCCCTATAGTAATGTCACGGTAGTTTACCCCAACTCACAAGATTTATTCCAATAATCGACAATATAGAGTAGATACAGCTTACCGGACCTTAGAATGGCCGTACTCACCGTAGAGCAGAGAATAGACAGAGTCAAGAATGAGCCGAGGTCAAGGGAACAAGGAGACTGCGAGAACAAAAACTAGCCAAGGTCTGGTACACAGTAATCAGTAAGCCGGCAAACAAGACAAAACAGGGACAAAGAGATAAACGGAGTCAGAAACAAAGCCAAGGTCAAGCACGAAAATCACAACTGAACACAACAAGCGCTAAAGGGAACTGAAACAGAAACCACAATAGAGCAAGGAGTTAAGGGAGAGGTAAGTATAAATACCCTAGCATTTGATTTGATTGGCCCCTGTCATATCCACGCCCCCAAAATGTGAGTGTCCCTTTAAGAGCGTGTCCGAGACACACGGCACGCTCTTAGAGCTAGGCGGGACACGTGACCGCATCTCGCGGTCCATGCCGGACTTTCATCGGAGTTCTGAGCGAGCTGCGCGCGGCGGGAAGAGAGGACCTCGGCCGGCCCCCGGGTAAGGTAAGTACCGCTACAGGCACCCTGTGCATGACTCTGGTGATCGTATAGGTGACTGATAGTGGAGGTGTTCCTAGGCAGCAATGTAAACACTGCCTGCAGGTACATGCTATAGATACCAGAACTACTACATTAAACATTAGTGGTGCTGGTGACTTTACTGTCTATGACGAAGGGCCCTTCGCCAGTTGGTCCTGGAGAGGCCTGCTTGCCAGCCTCCTCCCTTGTGACTATGACTCTTTGATGTATTTTGCTTTAAAGCCCCTATTCTACCTTCAGACAGACTATTTATGTAGGTTGCTTTATTTCTCTTGTGTTTTAGTCACCCTGTACCCATTCTAGGTGCAGGGTGTGTGTAATGTAATTGTTTATAGTGTGTGTTTGTACTGTGAAATGTATTGCCTGCTCTCCTGTACTGCTGAGGTTTGCTACCAACTAAGTGGATTTGGCTATGGAGCATGTCTAGTGCCCTCTGTTGGTAGCAACAGCAATATGCACTACCTGAATAGCAAGACTGGTTAATTTACATATTCAGGTAGATTTGCATATTGCTAATTCTGCAGGCACGTGAGATATTTTCTGTTAAATATTGTTTCCCCCACCCCTTTAAAAATATGCCATTGTGTTATAATATGTCACTGTATGTTGCCTGCTATGATTTGGCTGTTTGTAATTTTATTGAGTTTTCACAGCATTGTTAATGTAATGACCGTATGGGCTTGTCCCAAGTAAAATAAAGGTTTAGACAGTTCTTCTTGATCCCTCTAAATGTAGCTTTGTCTCATTATTGGAGGGAGCTGTTATAATCACACTGGGGATTGCTATCATCTGCATACTCCCCTGAGCTTGAATCACTTAGCTCTTTTAAGAGCTTGTTCCTGACACGCTCTCCTTGGAGGAGAGGTCTTCCAAACACAGTCCTGGATGCTGGAGGTTCATACACGGTGGAATGAAGAGGTCTTTCCCACACGGTCCTGTAGGACAGAAGCTGATCCAGAGTGGATGGAAGATGTCGAGGCTCCAGTTAAGCTACGGCGGTTGTGGAGTCTGCAGTGGTTGTGGTGTCCGGTGCGGTGCTTGTGGTCCTCGGCGAAAGCTAGGTAGCGTCCATCAATGGAGGGTACTCGGTCGGAGTACAGGGAGCTCCGTTACACTGTCCCTTTAAGATTATTATTATTTTCAAATGCATTTTCCACTTCATGTACAATCTTAATTGTCTTATAAGATACAAAATGTAATAACAGAAGCACTTTAAAAAAGTAACATAAACGTATTCTTGAAACTGATCACTTGTTCTAGCACAGAAATGAATGAAGTCACTAGGAGAATACTTTGAACGTGAAGTATATTACCAATTTAAATTGGCTACACTGACTTATGGGTCACATTTTGTAGAACATTGTTATTGCTAGAATATATATCCATGTGGTCTGTTTAACACAGTTCCATTTAGAAATTCTCACTGACCAGTGCCATAATAATACTTGTTTTTCTACATTTGAAACATGAAAATAATCTTGTTTTTTCAAAGAACCCAGAGGATATATATTTTTAAGTAAGGTAAAAACCATCCATTATGATATTTCATGAAATAAATATGGATGTACAAGGCAAATGTATAGAATGTAATTGTGTAGAATATTACACTGAACAAAATTATAAATGCAACACTTTTGTTTTTGCCCCCATTTTTCATGAGCTGAACTCAAAGATCTAAAGATCTTTTTCTATGCACGCAAAAGGCCTATTTCTCTCAAATATTGTTCATGGATTATCTCGGCAAAGTAGAAGTGCTCACTAACACAGATTTAGACAGATTTGTGAACAATATTTGAGAGAAATGTACGAAGAAAAAGTCTTAGATCTTGAAAAATGGGGGCAAAAACAAAAGTGTTGTGTTTATATTTTGTCCAGTGTATTTCATAACATTTCTTTGATTACTGAATAATCATTTTTCTTTACAATACCACATTTAAATTAACCTCCTCAATGGATTTGTAGAACAGCAATTGCAAAAATAAATAAGTGGTGCATGGAGAAAAGAAAATAGCTTTGTTCTAGTGCACAAATAATGCATACATATTGTCATCAGAAACTAACATACAGTCATGGGAAAAAGAAACCCTCTTGGAATTCTATATCAGGACATAACAACAATTATCTGTTCCTTAGCAGGTCTTAATATTAGGCAAATAGAACCTCAGCTGCCTAATTACACCATGTCATGATTTATTTAACAAGAATTAAGCCAAAATGGAGGAGCCATGTTTAATCAAGGCACTGATCAGTGAGTGACCACTGCTGCAAAGTCATTTAAATCATATTGTGACAATGGGCATAAGAAACAACTATCAAATTAAAGGAGTTATTTTGAACCACTCTGAATTTAAGATCAGCCTAAATGCCGATGACATAATATTAACACTGTCTGATCCGGATATATCACTTGGGGACTTGTTTCAGGAGTTGGAAGACTATGGTAGAGTTTCAAATTATAAATTAAATATTGGTAAATCCCAAGGTATGCCCATCAATTTAGATTCTATGACAATTAATAGATTATCAGTTAAATATCCCTTCACTTGGTCATCTCAAGGTTTTAAATATCTTGGGATTCATTTCTCCTATAACTTAAAAGAGATGATTGATACAAACGTGGATAATCTTATAAAAGATACCAGTGATAAATTACTCAGAGTGGAGAAATATAGGAATTTCCTGGTTGGGAAGAATAAATATCATCAAATCATATATTCTACCTCATTGGTCATACCTGTTCAGAATGATCCCTTTATCTATAACAATAACTAAATTTAGGCAGATTCATAAATTATTTCTGAATTACATATGGGATTATAAGAGGTCAAGGATCTCGATTCTACATGTAATGAAAAAGCCCAGTAAGGGTGGCCTGGCTGTCCCAAATCTTATCAAATATTACAAAGCCTCTAGGCTGTACCATCTGTGGAGATGGCAGGGCCTAACCTCATTAGAAGAGCCTTGGTATAAAATTGAATCATTTTTGTGTTATTCAAAAGATCTTTCTAATATGTTATGGATTGACGTTGGGGCAAGTGCAAAATTCATTTCCAACATAGAAACTTCATACACAAAAGATATCTATGAAATTTGGGTAAAATACAGGAAAAGAAATCACATTTTAAATAAAATTTCTAAGTATAGTCCAATTAAGACAATGGAATATAATATTAATGACCTAAATTTAGGTAATTGGATCAAATTTGGTTCAACTAAAATAGAGGATTTATTAGAATTGAATAAAATAAGGTCTTTTTTATATCTCCAGTTAAGTCTTGACCTTAATTCAAGAGAGTTATTCACATACCTAAGAATCAAAAATTATTTGGACAATCAGCTGCTTTATGATAACACTAGGATAAGCAAAAAATTAAATGATCTATTTAAAAATAATACTAATCGTAAATCGATATCTAGTTGGTATGAATTATTGAGAGAGGAAGAAAAAGAGTCTAATCCAAAAGCATGGAAAAATTGGGAACAAGAAAGTGGGTCGTCAATTGAGTTAGAGCAGTGGTATAGATCAATTCAAGAAGTAAAAAATGTTGCATTGTTTAAATATTATAGAGCTTCATTTTAAAATTCTTCATCAATGGCATAGGGTACTAAAAATTCTAAATAGAATTAACCCTGATAATTCCAAACTTTGTTGGAGGTGCACTTGTGCTGAAGGTAGCTCTAAACATATTTGGTGGGGATGTAAGCTCTTAAGACCTTTGTGGAATAAAGCATTCAGAGTTATATCAGACTTAGGGGGAGAATATTTGGATGATAACTTAATGGTTACTCTTTTCCATTTTAATTTAAGGAGATTCTGAACTCAAAATGGATATTTAATAATTCAACTTATGATGGCCATAAAAATAGAAATATCAAGATATTGGATTCAGAAAAAGACTCCATCTTGGACCCAAGTGCTAACTCAGCTTAAATATCAACACGATATGGAAAGGGGAATATCTTTTCAAAATGATAGCCACTTATATTTGATGAGAAATGGTCACCTTGACTAGATAATCTGATATAACAATATACCTTGTTGTTGCGTTCTCTGTTATGAATATCCTTATATATAAAGATCACTCTAGTTCTTCCCTATGGTATTGTATTTAGGAAAGTTATGAACTAACTTAATTATTATAGTTTCGGCCCGGCTTATCCGCTCAGCTCTTTTAAATTGTGATATTTGTGTTTCTGGGTGTGTGAACTTTACTCAACAGTTCATATATTTTTCTACTGTAAATTTAGTCTATATGTTTAACTTTGAACTGTTCCTATCTGTATGTCACATATGTAAAATTTGCACACAAAAAAAGAAAAAAAAAGTAAAATCAAATTTTTTCCCTAAACATCTCATTTCAGATGAAATAAAAACATTTGCATTAATGGTTATGAGAGAAATAAGAAAAATTTAACCACTAAACAGATACCAACAAAATATGTCGGCATGAGAAAAAAAGAGCAGTAAAAGGAATTAAAGAAAATAAGGATATGATTATTAAACCTGTGGACAAAGGGGGAGGAGTAGGGGAGGAATAGTAGTCCTCTCCAAAGACAGCTACATAAAAGAAGCAGAGCGAATTCTCTCTGAACATAAAACATATCAAAAATTAGATACGAATCCAATAGAAAATATTAAAAAGAAATTATAAAATTACCTTAATAAGGGCCTTGAAAAGGGAATTTTAACAGAAAAGGAAGCTAGGTATCTTTCTACTTCCCACCCAAGGATGCTGGTATACTATTACCTCACCAAAATACACAAGAACAGGGAAAACCTACCAGGTAGACACATTAAGTAGGGCATTAACTTAATTTCAGCAAAAGTATCTGAATACTAAGACAACCTACTCCAACCGGTAGTAGTTTACAATCCAGCCTATCTAAAAGATACTATACACATTTTACAACTTTTGGACGAAATACCACGGAAAGAAGGAAAGCTGTTGGTTACATGTGCCGTTACATCTCTTTATAGTATAATATCTCATGAAATAGGCCTGAAAGAAGGCACACAACATTGTTTAACTAAATCTAATAAGATAATCAAATTTTATTTATATATAAATATATTTTAGAAGGAATCCATTTGATTTTTGAGAATACACTTTTTTGGTTTCAGAATACAATTTATCTTCAAGCAACGGCGATGGGCACCAAGTTCGCTCCCAGTTATTCAAACCTGTTTATGGCTTATTGGGAAGAATTGTTTGTGTATCATGGACATCACTGGATAGCGAACTTGGTGTCCTATCACCATTTGACATATTTTTTGTTTGGACAGGTTCTACCTCAGACTTAGATACTTTTCTAACTCACTTGAATAATAATGAATGGGATATTGTCTTGTCCTCGCAACAGAGCACTTTAGAAATCAACTTCTTAGATTTAAATATCAGTATTAAAGAATCCCACATCAAAACTAAAAACTTTTTTAAAGAAGTTGATGCCAATGGATTTATAAAAAAAAAGTTGCCATCACACCCCTTGGTTAACATATGCCCCTAGAGGACAGTTCTTAAGAATTAGACAGAACTGCTCAGATGACCATAATTATTTGATACAGGCAGACAGGATTAAACACAATTCCTGGAAAAGGGATACGATGAAGAAAAATTACAATTAGCCCTAGCAGAAGTAAAAGCTATCCTAAGAAAAGATCTCCTGACCTATAAACAAAGGAAGAATAAAAAACAGAATAAGAACGATATTCCATTTATCTGTAACTTAAACAGAAATAATAAGAAAGTATGCAGGATAATTAAAAAATATTGGCACATCCTACATGATGTGTTCCACAACCAAAATCCAGAAGAGCTGTTCTTTTTTGCAATTAAATTGGTGAAGAAGGATTAGAAAGGGGGAGACTAAATAAAAAAAACTGGGATGGAAGAAATTAAATAAATGTTTAATTTATATACTGTGTTCCCTCATGCTTTAATTCAAGATTTTGAATGGTGTAATTTTATGAGTTAACTCTCCAATCCCTAGAGAACCATCCACTGCACATCATGTAATTTGTTTGCCTTAATATATACTTTTCACATATATTCCCACCAGGCCCTGACTGGCCATCAGGCACACTGGGCAAATGCCCGGTGGGCCGCGGTGGCCATGGGCTAAGGCCGGCAGGGGAGGTCACAGGACATCCCCTGCCGGTCTATGCAGGGCCGGCACTATCCGAGCACCGCCCCCGCTATTTGCCATGAAGGGCCGGTGAAGAGATCAAAGAGATCACCGGCCCACTTTCATAGACATGTGGCTGGGGAAGGAGAGGAGGACCCAGCGGAGCTCTATCTTGCAGCTCCGCTGGGTTCCTCTCGCAAGATCCAGAGCATTGCCATGGCAATAGCCCAGATCTCGCGCTAGTGAACTCTAGCCCACACTTTACCACTGGACCACCAGGGATGGTGTCGGAGTGCATGGTACCTCCCAGGTACCACCGTGCTAAACCCCCCCCCCCAGGCTAAAAGTAAGAAGGGAGGGGTGCTTATTAGTTTTTTGGGTTTTTTTACCCCCCAATACACAATCCCTTTTAACAATCACCCACAGCACTCTAACACACATCACACTCAGCACCCTCACACTCAGCACCCTCACACACATCACACTCAGCACTCTCACTCACATCACACTCAGCACCCTCACACACATCAAACTCAGCACCCTCACACAAATCACACACACAAAGCACCCTCACACACAGCACCCACACACACAAATCATACACAACACTCTCACACACCTCACACACAGCACACACACAAATCACACACAGCACCATCACACACATCACCCACACACACAAATCACACACAGCACCCTCACAAATCACACACAGCACCCTCACACATCACACACAGCACCCTCACACACAAA